GACAGTGATATTGGCGCTAATCCTGATGACAGCGCATGGACGGGTGATAATCCTGCTTGATGCCTTTGATATTCCGCCTTCGCGGCAAAACACTGCATGCAACACAAAAAGCGTTTTTGACTTTTTCTACAGGACTTCGGGCGTGCTATCGCGACACTTTCTATGCAGAGGGGAGGGGTTTTTGGATGGTAGTCGCCCCACTTTCATGAAAAATCGGAATGTTTCGGTGAAACAAATCCTATGTTAGTAAACGCTTTATGTTAATTCCATGAAATTATTAAAAAACTTATATTGGAAATTTCGATTATAAAACGAAATGAGGCATTACCTGGTTACTGTAAGGTTAGCAGCAATCTCAACTCCTTTCTGTCCTTTGTATGAGCTTTAGGCTTTGCACCACATTAACCAAACCGTTTTCGCGCCAAATCCCATGCACGTGTTTGCAGTCTTCCCGCGAAAATTTTCGCTATTTGGCATTGAAAATCTTGTAAAAATTATTTAACAAATAATCCGATGGTTGGTATGGTCCTTCCTGTAAGTTACTCATGTTTTCCTTGGTGTTTTGTGAGAATTAACATGATGCGAATTGCTGTTACCATCGATCGCATGGTGTAGCCTGCGACACAGACCAAATCGAATGCATTCGATTTGGTCTGTGTCGCAGGCTACACCATGCTATCGCGGCTGGCAGCATGTTGAACAATCGGCCATTGATGGCTGTTGACAGCTAAACAGCTTTGAAAAAAAACGGAGACACCGTTGTGTATCCTCCGCTGGCTACGGTTGCCTTGAATCCAGGCGAGAAAAATTGCGAAGAGCCCCGTCTACGAACTAGGGTCAAAGTTAGAGTCCTGCTATAAAGGGACGTAAAAACGTAGAAGAACACTTAAAAGGACTTCAAGAAATGAAATTTTTTTGAAAACATAGAAGAATGTTTAATGATCAAATATTGTATAGTTATTATTCTTGTGAACATTTATATACGGGAAAAATTGTTTTTCTAACTTTCGAAAAGATCAAAAGTGTACCCTGAGCATCTCTATAATGGGTTTTCCAAAGTAAGAACCGTTTCAATTTAGTTTTCATTATATAATTTACACTTTGAAGAAATGTTAAAGTCAAAAAAACTGTGGTCTAATTTGCTAGTCCTTTTAGTTTTACACTAACTTGTGACAAAAACAGGCTCTTCCTGCAAAATTTCCACGGTGTATGATATGATCCTGTCAGAAATGTTTGCCTTGTTCTTGTAACCTGTGCTCAAGACTCCTTATTTGAGGGGTCTGGAGCACAGTCTATTTCCTAGCTTTTGATAACTTTATTTCAAGTTGGATATAATGTTCTAACTTAATTTTAAACAATTATCATGGGCTATTAAATACCAATGACAGCGGTTTATATCACAGATTGGAGGAGCTAAAGCGTTTTTTAGGGGGGGGGAGGGGGCTTAAGATGCTAAAAACTAAGAGCAGATTGGGGCCAACTTTTTGTATGGTTTTAAATATAATTTGGGAATTATTGGGGGGCTATTTAATTTTTTCTTAAATTAGAATGAGCATTTTCAGTTACGTTCGCTAGTGGTAATTATCATGACATCTAGAGAAATTTTGGCATTTGTGTGCCGCATTTTTTTGGAATACTTTTGTGGGTCAGGGTATGCTTTTGACAAATTTTTATAGGACAGGGTTAGGGTGCAAAAAGGTTTCCCGCACAGCCCCCTTGTCATTTTCCTAGTCAGGTCCCCCCACCCTCTGGGAATCTATCTATGTGATATATGCTAGCCCTGCTATATCCGGGTTCATAATTTGCAGGAGCACAGAATTTTGGTTTGTTTTATTAGCTTTTGGAAGATCTCTAAACTGTTGACATTTCTTACTTCGGCGGGTATATCATTCACAACAGCTGGATTTTGGTTACTGTTAGTGGATCCGAGTTATTTTTCAGCAGTTTTATTACTCTTTTTACAAAAACAATTATTTAAGAACCCGAGCCTCAAAATTTGTCAAATGTCAAGAACAAATTAAGAACAATAATGTGAAATCACCCTTAAAAAATTTATATAAAAAACGAAGAGTTTTTTGCCATCTAGGGGTGCTTTTTGGGTGAACTTTCAAACTTGTCAGCAAATAACGCCTGTCGCACCAATTTTGTTGGCAAATGAGGCCTGAACTCCGATAATTCAAGGAATAATTTAGAACAATCCTGGAGCAAATTTTCGAAAAAATTAAAAACATCCAGGCTGAGTTTCAATTTGCCGGTTCTTAAGGAAAGTTTTTTTTATTTATAGATATCTAGACCGAGATCCGATTTTACAAGGCATTGTCATATTTTAGAAACACGGCACAACTAGTGTAAAATGTGGCCAGAGAATGGCTTTTAAACATCACCAAGTCATTTTCAGATAGACTAACAAAAGTTTGGCATCTGGCAAATGATCTTCCCACTTACAATTATGGTGCAAAAAGTGTGAACGGGAGAGGGTCAGAAAATATTTTTGGGTGCTCTTCGTGGCTATGAATCCTCTTCTCGGGGTTTTCCAGTATAACTGTGTTTTCAAGCCATCGAGAAAGCTTCCTTGCAATAATGGAGAGGAAATTGCAATAGAATGACGTCATAAATATCCTTTTCTATAAATTTCGAATTCTGATCACATAACCTGAAAAAGCATCGTAAAATACCTCTAAATATGAAAAATCAGTTAAAAGAGTTACGAATTGACAGTGTTATGGTCAGATGAGCACAGGCTCTTGCCCCATCAAACCTCTTTAAGTTGGTCTCTGTTCATAAACTTTATGAACAGAGCCAAAATAACGGTGGTCCGTTAGCAAATTTCAAATCTTTCATTTGCTATATCTCATTCAGTTTTTGACTCATTGGCCTGATTTTGCATATTTAGAAGTAATTGATAGAGTTCTTCTATGTTCTTTGATCAAAATTCAAAAATTATAAAAATAGTTTTCTTGTGACGTAACACTTAGAACTCAATGCCGTTAATAGTCGTGCCACAGATGTTGCGAGCGCTTGGATACGCCGACGAAAGACACTTGGATACGGTCTTGCTACGCTTTAATCAGTGGATTAGTCGTGAAGATTTAGAAAGTTTAACAGCAAAGTTGAAAACAAGTCAAGGGCTTTATCAGGGGCGGACACTTGGTGAAATATTGGGGGGGGGGGCAAGCCTATTGTTTTAATAAGATGAAATCACATTTCCCATTGTCTTAGAACAAAAGACCACTGTTCTCCAAGGTATTGGGGGCGACCGCCATCGAAAACCTTAACTTTTTGTCTCTGTTTATAACCTACCATAACATAACCTGTTAAAAATTGAAAATTGACCATATAATCTGAAAGGACAACATGAAATACTTCTAAATCTGCCAAACAGGTTATGTTATGGTAGGTTATAAACAGAGACAAAAAATTAAGGTTTTCGATGGCGGTCGCCCCCAATACCTTGGAGAACAGTGGTCTTTTGTTCTAAGACATTGGGAAATGTGATTTCATCTTATTAAAACAATAG